GAAAGTGATTGAATGCTTGGCCTCCTTGCTCACTTAACCTATTCTTTCATTGTAATTTGCCTGGATTTACTAATGTAATAACGGTATATTCACTCGCACTATTCCTTTTCGTCGTATTCTGTTGGCTGTACGTAGGAATTTAATTATGTTGTTACCCGGAACTGAAACCGAAGTCTTGCTCCTCCAACCAGTCCCGGGACATTTGTCTCATTGTCTCTCCGTTGAGTGAAACCGCGAATCGGCGTATGGTAAAAGATTCATATGTGTCTTGAAAGTTTCACAACCAGTGACAGTATGGTTTGTCCTGTCTTACTGCGATACGCTTGAGGTATATAATCTGTACAGTTTGATAATTTGATAGAGGCAGCAATGGCAAGTCGTGAATACTTGTGAGTTACCTAATGTACCTGTATAGATTCTCAGCCGAACTCTACCATAGACCCCTTGATCTTCTAGAGAATATAACCAACCATCTCTCTCCTGTTGATTTGGAGTCTTTCGGTCGCTGTTGCCACTTGTTCCGACAACACACAACGGCTTACAAGAATCGTGTCTTTTGCATTGAAAGGGCGTATCGCGGGATTTTTGACGACGTCAAGGTCTTGAAAGATTTTCAAAATCTACAGGTATATATTTTTTTCTCATACAAGTATCGACGCCTGGGTTATATTACTGTTGAATCTATAGACCTCAACGGGATTGATGGTTTCCGGTTCCACTGCACTGAGGTTATTCACACGAGTTGAATATGGAGGCGATCTGGATTGTTATTGTCATTTACCACAGGCCATTGCAAGCGGACTCTGGTTCTTAGCCCACGATTTCTTGTTCATGCCTACTGTTGATCAGCTGGACGATTTTGCTGCTGATTTCACCCGATTATGCAAGCTTTTCGATGACGAGACTCCCCTCGGTGGAATCGCTGTAGAAGAAGATATTCGCGAATATAAACTCAACAACATCGCTGCAGTGTGGAATTTTAAACGCGGGCCATTGATAGTGCAATTGATGGGTACTCTGGGTTCACCTTTAGCAACCATCCTTTCGTTTCATTCAAGTTGAGTCAACAGCTTTTCGTTGTGATTTGAAACTGAAGACACTTTGAACAGCTTGCGTAATGAACATTCTCTCTCATGACGCCGCGTATTGTTTGTTCCCCAATCTTACCCTTGAGCGTAGAGTGTCACTGCTCATCGATCTTACGTTACCAATGACGGAGGTCCAGGCAAGAGCGGTGGACAAATACTCTCAACGTGGTTTTGATCTTCTTCGGAATGCTCCGACATCTTCAACTTGCAATCCCAACTCGGCGGTGACTTTCCTCCGACCACGCTTTGTTGGCGATCGACATTGTTACAAGATCACTTTCAAAAACCTGTCTGGTAATGCGAACCAAGGGAACTTTGTCGAGGCAAACAGCTGGGGAATGTCTTATCTCAGGAAATTTAACAGCACTACCACCACTGACGTAGATATTTCTTGTTCAACTCCATATATCGCTTTCACCGGTGATATTTTGGATATACAAAGACATCTTCGTGCTGTAGATGGATTAATTGAACGACAATTATTAAGGTATGTTTTGCTTCTCGGTACAATACCAACGTTTCCTGACCATGCATTAGCGACGAAACAGCTCTGTTAACAATTCAAACATTGATCAGCCAAAACGCACGGCGTCCTCATCCGGCAAGCTTTCCATGGCATGCACTAAACATCGTCATTAGCATCGTACGGGGTCGGTCCACCTTCGGTTTAACATCCACCGTGGCGCATATGTTATATGAATTTTTTTGCATTATTGACAAAACATGTACTTCATGTCCCTCGGTTAGTTGTGTCACTTTAATGGGACAAATCGACTTATGTTCTGTCAGATTGATGTGTCTTTGTCCACAAATACCTCCCAGAAATCTGTTTTGACGATATCGCTTGACATCATGCATCCAAAACGAAGGATCGATTGGGACGGGTTGAGAGAGAAAGCGTTGTATTTTGCTGATGATAACATTCTGTTCAATATCGTTTGCGATTTCTAATTAGTCGAATAGGCTTTGTATCGAAACAAAATACGGTACCCACAGAAATGTCACATATAATTCTTGGAAATAGGAGATTTGTCGCGGTGGTTGTCAGGTGCCCGCTCCTTCTCCTGAGCGTGTAGATTCATTGGGTCTTACAGTAAAGAAAAACTGCAATTATGCATCGAATCAAATTCAGTCATGGTCTTTCCTGTTAGTCTCAGAAGAAAATTGATTGGGTCCCTGCCGTCGTCAGTTGCCCGTCCTTCTCCTGAACGTGTAGATCCATTGGTTCTTGCATTATGCATCACATTTACATCTAGTCATTGTCTCTGCTGTTGGTATCGGGTGTACTTCACGATAAGTGTCTGTCCTTACTTCTGTCAGCCACCTTGTTTGTCTCATCTACGATAAGGGCCTGTTTCATTACAGCTAAAACAAAGTTCGTAGACATTACAGATCATATGAGACCGCTTATAGATTGTCGAGCATTTTTAACTGTTACGGTGGATTACAAGGGTCTCTCTTATTAAGAGTCTACATTAACTAGGTGAAGTACTTTTCGATGTATACAGACATTGTGTTATCCACTCGGCCGCTCCGGTCTTTACTCAACAACCACCCTCGTATTATGACACGAGCCCACTTGAAGTCCTGCAACTACGTTGTGCGCCAATGGCTTGACCGCCTTTCTTCTCCATCATTTCACGATGATCTTCCAGCGAAAATGATACAGGAATTTGTTCAATCATTGGTATATTTCACTGTTGTTTTTTGATTAATGCTCACCGTGTTTCGATCAGCCCATTTCAACTGCGCTCACGCCGTACTCAGGAAATGGAATTGACATGGAAGTACTGATGATATTCCAAACCTTGCGAAATTGGCAAAATGTTCGCGGGGTACCTACTCACACTGACATTGTCATGCCATTCAAGATGCACTCAACGGGTGCAATGGGCATTTTCAATATCGGTTTTCTGCTTTGCAACATCTATAGGAGCTTCATCAGTGACGGGGAATCGAAAGTCGAAATCTGTGCATTATCGTTCAAAATCGGGATCGATTATGGTGTAGGCTTTGCTGCTTTCGCCGGAGTCTCACCTGCATGGATTGAACGAGCCGAAACCACACCAATGTTCGATGTTGTACCCGGTTTGACGGAGACTTTCGTAATGACCTGGCCTTTATGTCGTGACGATCTTTCAACCACACAATGTGTACACCACACATTGAAGGAATCTAGGTAAGACTTTTGCTTTTTTTCCCATCTTAGAGACTCATAAGTGCCCAGGGATTTGGCATCTATGTAACGCTGTAGATCGACCCCTTTAACTAACGCCGATCGTGGTTTTTTTTCGTACAGTTTTTGTCTCAGTTGTACGTAGAAGTTTTAGACATTCTCTGTACTGTGTATGATGGATTGTCTGCAATTCAATTAAATAACAGTCAAATTAGAAAGATAAAACTTCCAAATCCAACACTTCAAGCACTGAAACCTATGAGACGATGAAGAGACCACTTATGACTCCAGATAACCGAGATATCAAGCAGTATCTACATATCAAGGACCATGTTGAAGGTATGATTTGTGCTATTCCTTGTTTACTATCTTTATGTCTCTCAGGTACGAGGCGGTTGAAAAAGCGACGATTGAATTCTATTCGACATGTTCCAATTGAACCTAAACCACGTATTGCCGAGGAGGGCGCCGCAAACTCGTTTTGGTTTCCATTCTGCTACGAATCGTCGAATATTGTTGTATTGAATGAATTATTAAAATTCGATAAGTGAGATTGACTCCTGTTTTTGGACTGTTTCCTGATTAATTATCTACTAGTGATGCAACATACGGTCCCGGAGCTGGTTCTACTCGGCTAGAACGCTACAAAAGAGCATTGTTGTTAGGGCTTCACCCTCCCGAACATGTGAGCATGATGTTTCTGTTACGGGAATGTCTAACGCTCGGTTTCAGTTATTATGGATTTTGGAAAACATTGATCGTGATTTGAACCATCCTTGGAGACTCACTAGGATCACAGGACTCCTCCTTTAACTTATTACTAGATCTTGTTTTGAATTTGTCTTATGCTTGTGCTGACCGGTTTATAATGAAATCTGTATAAAGACGGTTACTCCCACCATAAATTAACAGCCATGGTTAGAATGACTACTGGCCGCAAAGCCCCCCCTCTTCCTCGTAAGCGGGTGGGTGAAACATTGTCTGCACCTCTAGATGAAGCAGCCACTGTACGTGCCAACATCAGTGCGTGCCAACCATTCTGAAACAGTCTGTGTATTAATACTAACTGATAGAACATCGCAAGAATGGACATACTAAACAGGAACCTCGACGCAAGAAACACCAGACGAAACGCCCCGATTGTCACCGTATGCCTTGCTACTTGTGTGGGGTCTATTATTTATGCCGTTTTTTACTGCAGATGATGGAACTTCTGCGAAGATGTGATGTACAATGGCGCTTGAGCAGTTTGGCAGAAATAAGCGGATTGGTTCTCCATGATCAAGGCTACCGTCGAGAATCGTATGCAATGTTATTTCGAGCAATATGTGATGATGGTCGATGAGCGATAGTCGATGTATAATGAACCAGTGTTATCAGTGTATTGAAACGGACCGTAATGTTTATTTCTAACTGGGTTTTACCCAGAGCGACGTAGCGGGCAATGCCGCTTGCCGGCGCTACCTCGGTTATAAGGGAAGGCTAGTCCAGTGAGCGCTAATTTGCATTTATTTACTATATCCTTGATCCCACACCTCCACCGTTGATTTCGAGATACCCAGTCTCCGTAAGTTTCTTCTCTCTCTCAATCGGCTCTTCGCTTAGCCTACTGTTCCAGCTTTTCAACTACTAGTTAGTATCTCATTTACATCAGTCATGACCACCAAGTGCACTAAAGCATGTCCACAATGTGGATACTCATCTGATACCGCTCCTCTACATCTTCCTCTAGCTAAGGCCCGCATCGATAACTTCCTACATACCAACGATTTCTTCACCGAAGAGGAAGGGAATATCTTCCGATCGTTCATAGGCAACGGCCAATCGAAACTCAATCACCTTGAGGCTCGCATTATCTCGGTGAAGGCCCTCCTTGCTGAGCTTGAAGGTGCCAAAGCTGAGCTTGTCAAGGCACTTTCAGAGCAGAAAAAGATACTCAATCCTATGCGACGTATGCCTGAGGATCTGCTGGTGGAGATATTCTTACAGGGTGCTGGGATTTATACGGATCCTGGAGAATATTTCCCTTCTGCAGGTCATTCTCTTGATCTTGGCTCTCCTCCGTGGACGTATAGCCGGGTGTGTCGTCGCTGGAAAGATATAGCCATGCGCACACCTAGAGTTTGGACTCGAGTCAAAATCGAAGCAGATCGCCTTGTCAGCCACCGACGATTTCCATCACGCAAAAATGGCACTGGTAACAATCGGCTTCCTTTGGGTCTTTCCCTTCTATCTAGTTACCTCAGTCGGTCAGCCGCACTTCCTCTTGCTATCTACCTCGATATACCCGTTTCATCTTCGGATGATCGTGCCTATGGAATATCTGTTCTTATATCCTCTCATTCTCGGCGATGGGAATCTCTATATCTGGGTGGAAGTCAAGGTTCCAATCTCGGGAGCATGGTCTTCTCGCAAGACTCCTTTCCATTGTTAAGAACTTTGCGAGTACAATTGGACTGTAATGTGCAAACAGTTGATATACCTGCACCAAACCTAAAATCGTGGGTGACCATCGGCAAAGCGTATTTGTCCCAAGTTAATACTACGCTCTCGGTCGAACTCCATGCCCAAATTACAGATTATTCAATTTCAAACTTTCCATACGATGCTGTTCTGAGGATGTCTACACTACTTTCTCGCCTGCGAAGACTAGTAGTGCGAGAATTAAAACCAAAGCACGGTTGGGATTCTTTCCTGAATTCTGGGTGTTTTCGTGGTCTCCAAGAACTTGTGGTAGAACAGTCAGAGAGTCCAGGTGCATTGAATGTCCTTCAAGCATTTTTCAACTCGATAACTTGCCCCGCTCTCACATCTTTATCTATCATTGCTCATGATTCACTGAAGTCCGTCATCCAAGATTTTGAAAAGCGATCCGCTTTCAATCTTGGTCATTTGGATATCACAGGACATACGCGGATCTTAGAAGGAAGCCTTCAGAACACTGCAGCCCTCAAAACACTTGTGCTTAGAGATATTGGGAAGACATCCGAACTTTCTGTTGCAAGTGTCTTTTCGTATTTAGATTCAACCACAGTGTCTTTGGGTCCGGGATCGTCATTGGGCAGTCCCTTCCCCGCACTACATCGATTGGAGCTTCATTTATGCTCAACACCTGTCTTGATGGAATATGATACGATGGAGGCACTGTTTCTATGTCTTTCTTCTCGTCTCGATTCTTCCTCCCATAGTAACAGTGTGTCACCTCTTGAAGTATTCATCACTGCGCCGGATGGGCAAGCTAGGAAGATGCTTGACCATCCTCGATTAGGGGAACTTCGTTCGCTGGGAATAAAAGTCGATATTGTAGCTTTGTGATCACGCTGGTTGTTACATATGCGCCATACTAGTATTCTGCCATACGATACTATAGTCAAATACTTCAAAATCCATCGCGGGGCCCATTTCTCACATTGCCGACATTGTTCTATGCACATTTCCCTTGTTTTTGTTTTTGGTGGAGGCGGAGGATACATATCGAGTCTGGTCGACTGGAAATCAATGGGCATACGTACTATGAAGTTGTATCAAGAGATGGGGAATTTCAGTTTGGCTTGAGTATTAGCGATCTCTCTTATGTACTGCTGCACAAACTGGAATTTGCAAAACCAACCTTAGGTGGAGATCTACAAGTGTCTTCTCAGCTGCAGATTCACTAGGAGCTCGATATGATAGGATATGATCCACGTCGAGGAATTTCGTAGTCTGAAGTGTGTACAAGCATTTCCGATAAGATAAGATAGGATATGTGATGGGCATTGATGGGCAGTCACGTCAGGATTCCCGACCACGACCTCACTAAGACCTTCTCTTCCTGAGTTTTCTAGTGGGATCCTTCCCCTTCTATCCCAGGCGCGGAAGAAAAACCTTTGAGCAGCCGGATAAGCTTCCTGTTGGTTCTCGCGTAACACCGGAGCCTTTTCTGCTTCCCGTCCTGTATACGCGGCGTGGTCACTGAATTGATTTGCTGGAATATATGTAAGTTAGTCCGAGTCGGTTTCCGTAGTTTCAAAATTTAACACACCACCAGTACAATATTTCCACCTCTTGCGCTCCCTTGTGCTCAACTGCATGCCACCACAACGCAAATAACATTCAAATTTGCCTAATCGATATTTGTACTTAGGGCTCTGCCCCAAATCGGGTCCGAATGCAGCTGCTTCTTGGTCTCATCCGACTTAATATCCACCCTTTACCCGCCGGATAGAGGTTTAATTGAAGCACTCGGATTTCTCTGGACGATCCAACGGATGAATTTACATTTCTTATCCTTATTGAATGTGTATAAATTTTATTCCTGCTGCATTCGCAAGCAATTTCGCGGTGGGATAAATAATAAATAGCGCGGCCCTTGGTTTCTTTCTAACACCCCCATTACTCTTGTGTCCTATCGTCCCCACTACATTCTTTCACTGACTCTCGTTCGTTCGTTCCCCACCGATGAAAACCATTATACCACTTTTGCTGGCACTCGCGGTGTCAACGCTTGCCGCCAATGTTCCCCGGCGTCCTCCAAGAGCGGAGCACGTCGTTCGTCAGGAGAACAACCCTGATCCTACTGTTGGCGGTAGCCCGGATGGAGGCTGGCAGTCAATGCCCCAAGTCGCAGATGCAACGGCGTATCCAAATTGGACGTTAAATGATTCTGGGGCCATGCTCGTGGGTCCTTCGTCATGACCTCGGATTTTCTATTTTCCAACGTATGATATCGCAGCCTGTCTATCAAACAACTGGGCTAATCCCGAACGAGGTGACCAGAGCAGTTATCGTTCTACCTGGGAAAGTACGCGTTACCGGTCTTTTTCCTTCTGTCTGATTTTCAATTCGCAAATGAATAGCCTCGTGATTGCTGGTACTATTGGAACGCTATGAATAACGCTCTTTATCTGGCTAATTATCAGAATTCCTCTATCTCCCGTTCCCAAATATCTATCATGGCACCATGCTTCTGGACTCAAGTCGATGTGGAAGCTGGCGCAGCTCAGGCCGACGTTTTGATCTGGGGCATGACGACGTGGATCAGTGGGCACGAAAATGTCGGTCCTACCGGCGTCTCTGATTATAGTAGCTTCAAGGCCCTCGATGCGTTAATTGAGCATTACATGAACAAGAGTGTATATCCAAACCTAAAAGTGAGCGTTTCTGCTATTGAGAATACCCCCTGCTGACTTTCTGCTTAGACTGTTGTTCTGGCAGGACATTCTGCGGGAGGTCAGACTGTCCAGCGTTACGCTGGCTTACGCCAGACAACCGAGAACGACGACCGTCTTCATTTCTGGGTCGGTAAGTCTATGTCTTCGTACTATTCAGCATATTCCTCAGGTTAAATACAAACTACGGATATACAGGTAATCCCGGCTCACTCATGTGGCTTTCCGCTGACCGACCGTACCCTAACGCGTCATGTTCCGGTATAGACGACTACAAATACGGCTTGGCAGGCGATTTCCCTGCGTACGGGAGTAAACTCGATCGGGATTCAATTCTGTCTTTGTATAATTCACGGATTGTGAATTACGCCTGGGGAACGGTGATTCTATTCACAATCAAGCTGGGGAATATCTTCACTGACCAAAATGCTTCTATTCAACAGGCTGACAATGGAAATGGAGACACTAGATGTGAGGCGGAGGTGAACAAACTTCTTGTTTCAGCCCATTATCCTTGTTAACATTCGAATATCTTTTGCAGACACAAGGCTCTACGCACTATACCCGAGGCCAGAATTTTGTCAGTATGGTTAATGCGACTTTCGGATGGCCAGCGAATGCCACTGTGGACTGGGTAGAGGGCGTGTCACACGATAATGTGGGCATGATGGAAAGTGCTGAGGGAATCGATAAAGTAAGCTGTGTTCTTCGGATAATGCGACGAAAGAGTTGGGAGCTAACCATATCCATTGCGCTTTAGTTATTTGTCTACTGATCTGGGTTAAGTTTCCTTCTACTTAGAATCTAGATAATTCCTTCATTCTTGACCCAAATCGAGTTTTCAGGTATACTCTACATAGACCCAAAACCGCGTTGAGGGTTGTTTCCTATTGTTTCATCGTCGGTGTGGGCAGGGTAGTGTGCATGTCAGAACTTTGAGATTTTTGAACTCTACAAATCGTTTAGTTTTATGTGGCCTGATGGTCTAGGAGTATGATTCGTTGTTAGGGTGTGAAAATATCCGTTCGACGAGGTCCCGGGTTCAATTCCCGGTTAGGCCCTGTTTTTAGTTTTTACATGCAGTGAAAACGAAGCGTGACAGCTATTCAACTACCCCTACCATCATCGGGAATTTTTGCTCTTCTTTTTGTTCTCTTCTGATTCTTCATCGTCGCGAAAGGACAAAAGCTCTGCAATTTCTCCACCCTCGTAATGTCAAAGCGTCCCGTTTCCCCGCCAGGAGGAGGAGCCCTAATAAAACGCGCCAAAAGTTCTTCTGACGGTTCTGGTGCATCGACAACGAGAGAAATAGCTATTTCTTCGAATAATGATCCACGAAACAAAAGTCTTATACGAAGTGTACAACGAACAAGTGGATTAGATGCTCCAATTGTCAGTCTTGCGGGCGCACATTCGGTTAGCAGTATATCTATATCTCGTTATCCTTTTGAATGTACTGACAGACTTTGTCGTAGGGTGAAATCCTTTCTTGTCGCTTCTCTCCGTCAGGTCTACACCTCGCAGCCTGCTCCTCAGACCGCTCCCTATCTCTTTGGAACACTTACTCACCAAACACCAACTTTGGCTTGATTTCCAGCCTCGCAAAAGCCCCCTTGCTCGACTTCCAATGGTCATTGTTCCAGCCATGGATATATACTGTATCTGCAGATCATCTTCTCTCTGTGGTCGATACGACAACTGGAGAGAGGGTGCGAAAAGTTCGCGCTCATTCGGGAATCATCAATTCTCTTGATCGGACCATGGCTAGCGGCAGTGGGACAGAGCTGATTGTCACAGGCAGTGACGATGGAACGGTCAAAGTTTGGGAAAGCAGTACTGATGATGGAGGGGTAGGAAAACATCCAGTGACGACAATAGATATTGGTTGTCCCGTAACGGGAGTGTGTTGGTCGAAAGACGGACAGAATGTGTACGTGTCGGCTTTGGATAATGAAATCCATGTAAGATTGCTCCCTCCTGATATTCTCTCCTTCCATTTGTAAATTTCTATTATATTTCATCAACTAATCGACATTTTCTTCCAGGTATACGACCTCCGAAACACTCCTACTGCGACCACCAACGGCTCCTATCCACGTACCCAACCTCTCCTCTCCCTAGCCGGTCACACTGACACGCCCACCTCCCTCACGCTCTCTCCTGACGGCAACTTCCTCCTGTCTCCGTCTATGTCATCCAATGTCATTATTCACGACATTAGACCCTTCAGCCCTAGTCCCACGAGGATTCACCGGGTACTAAGAGGCGCACCTGCGGGATTTGAGAATACGCTCCTGAGAGGTGCTTGGACGAAGGACGAGGAAGTTCATGGTGGGAAGGTCGGACAGAGGGTGGCGGTAGGGGGTGCAGATCGTATGGTTTGTGTGTGGGAGGTGGAGAGTGGGAAGTTAATCTATAAGGTGAGAGTTTGGTTTGTCCGGTTTTTATGTGCGAAGCGAACGTAGTATCAAGGCATCGCCGAGTGTGCTGTGCTGGTGTAATGCCGCCTGCTGCCATTCTTTGGGTCTTCCATAGTCGCTTTCCAAGTCAAACCTAACCCTTCTCTCTTTCTCAGCTCCCAGGCCATAAAGGAACGGTAACATCTGTGGACTTCCATCCAAAAGAGCCTATACGTGAGTTTTGTGTTGCCTTTTGCTTCAAATTTACTGACTTCTTTTTTATATCTCTGTTACCCTTTTTTGCAATTCTACGACGTTTTATTCCTTGCGTTTTCTGAATTTCATCCACTATCTATTTTGCCGTCATACGCCAATCTGCAGTACTCACAGGAAGCAAAGATGGCACGATGTTGCTTGGGGAGCTTGAAGCGGGTATATCTGTGTAACCATCGATAACTGTGAACCCATATGCACATGTACAGACGTGAACCTGACGTGAACAGATATTGACGAGCCCGTTGGAGGAATATAAATGGGCAACGGCCCCGCGGCTGAACATCAGGAGAATTATGTATATATTATATGTAGCTCAACAAAAGGTTATCCTCAGGGTTCCAGGGATCTCAGAAATGAGGAAGAGGATTCGGTAGGATTCGGTTCACTCATAGCTAGCGTCTCCCAACGTGTTCGCAGACTTACTGCTCATGTAAGTATGCTCTCCTAACTCCTCACAACGAATAATACATAGCCTGATATCCAATCTTGATTTTAGCCCATCATATTATGATGGAGAGTCTGACTCTTAGGAGAGATATCCAGACACAGCCCGCCGCCCTGACAGTAACCGGCTGCGCGTTAAAACTTAGCCTGCGAGGCCCTTTGCAACTATCCCTTCTTTCTTCACCGCATTCGTTAGTGAAGTTTCCTCCTCAATCTCTTGCTGGTCAAAAGTTTGAGGCACTTCATCGACGGTAAAGCGATCCCTAACTCAGTAAAATTGTCATGCGCCTTTCAGCGACTTTGTTCATTTTCGGACTTGCTTCCATCACATGCACAGGTGCGGCACCTCAACCCGTGAGTGATATCAGCGTTCCATGAAGGGAGACATTGAATCTGAATCTTTGCACCTAAATCCAGATGAACACCCGAGCTCATGCTAACGCTCTGGACACTGCAGACGCCGAAAGGCGTATTCGTTCCCTTACGGTACCCTCGATGCACGCCAGAAACGAGATTCTTGAAGTTTACTACCGACAGGACACGAAGAGTAGGCAACCAATGCCGGGAGATGATGTTAGGTCCAAGACAGCATTGAAGGATTTCTTCGGTCACGAGGGCGTCAGACAACACCTAGGCATATCCGAAGGCATTGAAATCGAAGTGAAGGGGGACTTTTATGGATTTCTCAAATACAATGAAAGGGGTATCACACTGCCAGAACGTGTGCAGAAGGTTGCTTTCAAATTCAAGGCAGATCCTCTCTGTCGTACCATCTGTGCCGGATTACTTGAAATCAATAGTATGATGGGCGTTGTTCGTAATGAGGAAAAAGAAATCTTTAAAAATTTCTACAGAGGTCTGTTTTACTGTTTTATATTGGTGACATAGGCTCATTCGTGCTCTTCCTTAGGCTGACTGAATTCGAAACCTTCCACTATTGCGGTTTGGAGGATTGAAGTTTGGTGCATAGTTGTAGTAACGGAGGGTGACTGTGGCACTGATATGTAGAACACTTTCCTGTGAATCCAATGCTTGTGCATGGCGCCTCGTGTGAACGAATTGTCACTCAAATGAATAGAAGCTCACTGATCATGAGCCCGTCAGGCAGCGGCTGGATATTAATTTCAAGTCAGCATGATTCATGTACCCCTTGAACAGTGACACCAAAATACAAATTTTCAGCTTCTTTACAAATTCTGTACCTCTCCCCTAAACCAAGTTCGAAGGATAATGGAAATCTTCCAGTCCGACGAAATTCTCCTTGATACTCCTCGCACTAACGAACCTATAGAAGATGCTTATACTTCCCGCTTTATCATTCGTTCCACTCGCGCGTGCACCACCAAACGGCTGTTGACCAACGACGGCACCGGTGCATTTTTCGTTGTAGTAGACGTTTCCGGCAGCGTTCCGAAGGGTATTGGTCGCGGTGATGAGAGCTTTACGCTCCGATGCGAAGCTGGCGTGATTAATATTCATCAGCTCAGATACGATGATAGAGGATTACACGTACATTGAACCGGTGAGACCATATTCAGTTGATGTATCGACCAGTTCCAACGTTTTCTCGTAGTCGTCATCTTCGAAAACATAAACCTATACACGGTGAACACGGTTGAGAAAGATTGGAAGTTAGTCACTCGGTGTGTTCCCTCACCGTCAAGACGGGACCAAAGATCTCCTCGACCATCGTCACCATATGTGGATCTTTGGTCAGAATCACCGTCGGTTGTATAAAGTAGCCTTTTGAGTCGTCACCTAGTAATCACGAAGTATGAGCACTATGAACGGGTATTTTGCCAAGGTTCTGTTTCACCAGTGCCGCCAATGAGGATCTCAGCTCCAGCGTCCTTGGCTTTCTGGATGTATGCAGTGATTTTGTCATATGCAGGACGGCCACTGTATTAAGAGAACTCTCGTGAGAATACAGCTGTGTCAAATTAGAACGAGTAAAGATTACATTACTGGACCCATGAAGTTACCCCAATCCAAGGGCGACCCGACCTTGATTTTCGCGGTTTCCGATAACAGAAGGTCTTTAAAGCCCCCCGACCATACAGACGAAGATACGTAAAGACGCGACAACGCAGAACATTTTTGGCCTAGGTTTGAAATATAATCCTCAGCATAATTTTAATGTAAAATCGTGTCAAAGACCTGCCTTGGTATTCGAATGCACCACGAATCGACTGAATCGCTGCGTTCCGTATTTCCGCGGACTTGTGCACGACATGAAAATTCTTCCCCCCAGTTTCACCCACAATCCTTGGGTATCCTTTGTATTTGTCCATATTCGCAGCAATATCCTTCCATAACTTCTTGAATATGAATGTGCTTCCAGTAAAGTTTAGCGCCGCAAAATTTTTGTGTCCGATAGCTTGAGCAACGACTTCTGGAGGAGGTCCAGGAACGAATTGGATGACGCCTGGAGGGACACCTGCTTCAGTGAAGATTTGATGTACGATGTAGTTGGAAAGGGTGGCAGCAGGTGAAGGCTTCCAGACGACGACGTTGCCTACAAGAGCAGGTGTTGCGCAAAGATTGCCCCCGATAGCAGTAAAGTTAAAGGGCGTTACAGCGAAGACGAAGCCTTCGAGAGGTCGGAACTCGATCCGACTAGATGAAAAACGACGAACGCGTCAACCGGAGAAGATCTCGGATTATAACGATATGACGCACTTCCAAGCTCCAGCTGAGTTCTTCGATGGCTGTTGAGCATACAATTCCTCCACGAATTTCACACCGAATCGTAAGAAGTCAGTCAACTAAGATAGTAAAACCTTAGCGGGTCATGAAAACACCGAAAATCAGACGAACCTCAGCAGCGGCATCGATCTCTGCCTGCCATGCATTCTTTCCTTGACCCAGCATAGTTGCAGCCAAAAGCTTATACCGGTACTTCCCGCTGACCAAGTCAGCTGCTTTCAAGAAGATGGCAGCACGATCATTCCAAGGCATACTTTCCCATTCTGCTCTAGCAGCAAGCGCGCCGTTGATCGCGTTCTCGACAGTTTCTGGATCAGCTTCGTGATAAGTGCAGAGATGCCGTGCGTGGTCATGGGGAATCGGTTGTTTCGCAAGTTTTCCGGTTTTAACCTGAATAGATTAGAATCGGTCTATGGATTGGTAGGTAGACTGCGCGTACAGGCTTGCCGTTAACTACACAGGGGACTTCAAAAGGTAGCTGTTGTTCCATTTCTGCGATTGCATGCTCCAAAGCAATGCGCTCGACCGAGCCTGGCGCGTACGCTTTCTGTCGATTGTTAGTAGATCCGAAGAGTGTGAGTAGACACTGGGTTGAGATAACGAGCCCTACTGACCATTGGCTCATTGTCAACGGCTGGAACCTTGAACGAAGCGAGCTGAGCAGATGACATTTGGAAAAATAGAAGCTAGATGGTGGTACAGGTTCAAGAAGGAGACGGACGGCACCAGGCATTCCGAATGTCTTTTCTTAGAGGTATGATCCGAATACCACCATATGCTTTTTTTGAAATATTGCCATCGATTCCGAAAGACGAATAATATAAAATATGAGACTTGCTTTGAAGCTCGGTTCTTCTAGCATTCTTTACAGTTGCAGTTGTGATGGTGTAACGAGAAAATTCATTGGCAATTTGGCATCGAACACAGGGGCAATAATGGCAATAATGACATCAATCTCGAAATGTCAAAGCAGTTGTTATCGATGAAGCACGAAGGGCTAAATCAGAAGGAGCGACCACTGCCAGGTTCATAGGGTACTGCGTTGCAAACTTCCAACTTACTAATATTTTGAGCGGTACACTGTGTTGGGCTGCTGCACCTTCTACATTTACTGTGTAGTCAGAAGTTCAAAAGAGGGAATTTGTCACTAGAGAATGACTTCAAAATGTTACACATATTCTGTGTTCAGATTCACCGGACGTTGCTGAGTAGGAAGAGCTCGTTATATCGAAGCAAAACTTAAAGCAACTAAGCGCCCGACTTTACACCGAAAGTCAGTGCCGCGCGGACCCTGCGTGACCAATTGGCGGCTTTCTTTCTACTTCCACACATCTTTACCTTGAACCATGGCATCGTCTTCGTCATCTAGCGCATTTACTAAACCCCCTGCTCGCGCAGCTGACCTCGACGAAACATGGGCCTTCTTGAGCCAGGGTGTGGATCATATAATGAACAAGCTCGACACTGGCATGAATTTTGACAGTTACACAAACCTCTACACGACAGTGTACAACTATTGTACATCGACGAAAATGCAAGGAAGGCAAGATAGCAATCGGAGTAGACTTTCTTCCCTCGCTCCCTAGCGCGATCTGATTCAAAATGTTATATGCTAGGTGGTGCTAACCTGGTCGGCGCAGATCTATACATGAAGTTACAGGAATACTTTGTGGATCATTTCAAGCCGATGAAGGAGGTAAGATGAGTGTATGTTATATGTTACGTCAATACTTATTGGTCGGTATTCAAGAAAACCGCTGGGCTACAAGATGAAGAACTGTTACGATACTATGCCACTGAATGGGATCGGTATACGACTGGCGCGAATTTCCTAAACCGTTTATTCATATACCTTAATCGATATTGGGTGAAGAGAGAGCGAGACGAAGGAAAGAAGACGGTCTACCAAGTCTACACTGTTGAGTCGTGTGTTTTGCGCGTGTCATAAGCATTTCTAATCAATCTGTAGCTTGCCCTGGCTCAATGGAAGCAGCATTTCTTCGTTCCTATACAGCAGGACAACATCAAGCTTGTCGGTGCCCTCCTTCGTCTCATCGAACGACAACGAAACGGCGAAGTGATTGATCAGGGTCTGGTGAAAAAGGTCGTCCTTTCTTTCGTCTCTCTCGGCCTCGACAACAATGATCTCATCAAAGAGTGTCTTGATGTATATAAAGAGCACTTTGAAATTCCGTTCATTGAAGCGACCGAGAAGTACTACAAGATGGAGTCTGAAACGTTCCTTGCATCTAACACTGTCTCCGAGTACCTCAAGAAGGCGGAGGATCGTCTACGAGAGGAGGAAGACCGTATAGAAAGATACCTGCATACGAAAACCCGGAAAGAGCTCATATCAAAATGTGAACACGTCCTCATCCGTGAACACTCTGAGCTCATGTGGGACAGCTTCCAAAAGCTGCTCGACTTCGATCAAGACGAGGACCTTCAGCGTATGTACGCTTTGCTGTCCCGAATTCCAGAGGGTCTGGAGCCTCTCCGCAAACGATTTGAAGGTCACGTGAAGCAGGCCGGTCTGTCCTCTATTTCAAAGTTGGTGGGAGAAGGAGGCAATGCAGACAGTATTGATCCAAAGGTATACGTTGATGCACTTCTCGAAGTGCATAAGAAAAACTCCGAGACTGTTGCTCGGAGTTTCAAGAGTGAGGCTGGGTTCGCGGCCAGTTTAGATAAGGCCTGCAGAGAGTTCGTCAATCGTAATGCCGCCACCGGTACTTCCTCCACTAAATCTCCTGAACTCATTGCTAAGCATGCGGACATGCTGCTGAGGAAGAATAACAAGATGGCTGAAGAGGAAGATTTGGAAGGCGCCTTGAACCGAGTGGTAATACAATCTACTGTCTTGCGATTGTATTTCAAGACGGTTGATCATTTTATAGATGGTCCTATTCAAATATCTCGAGGATAAGGATGTTTTCCAAACCTTTTACACCACTAAGCTCTCAAAGCGACTTATCCACAGCGTCTCTGCGTCAGACGAGAGTGAAGCCAGCATGATATCGAAACTGAAAGAAGCGTGCGGTTTCGAGTACACCAACAAGCTCCAGCGCATGTTTACCGGTTCGTGCACTTTGTCTCCTTCTGTGTTTCGTACTCATAGACCTCTTCTAGACATGAGCTTGAGCAAAGATCTCACGGACTCCTTCAAGGAGCGAATGACCCAGAACCACGACGACATGGATATTACCTTCAGTATTATGGTCCTCGGCACCAACTTCTGGCCTCTGAACCCCCCTCCACACGAATTCGTTATCCCAGCTGAAATCCTCACCACCTACGACCGGTTCCAAAAGTACTACCAACAAAAGCACTCTGGACGCAAGCTCACATGGCTGTGGAATTACTCGAAGAACGAGCTTCGGACGAACTACCTCAACCAAAAGTACATTCTGATGACGAGCTCATATCAGATGGCGGTTTTGGTGTTATATAACAAGAACGACACGATGTCGCTCGAGGAAATTTTCGTTGCAACGTCCATTGGGAAGGACATCTTAACGCAGGTGTTAGCCTTACTCGTAAAGGCTAAGATTTTGATTAATGAGGAGGCTGATCAGTATGATCTGAACCCGGGTATGTCGTTTCACTGAGTGGATTCGGCATGAAATTCATCGGGTGATTTGATTTCCAGGCTTCAAATCCAAGAAGATTCGTGTCAACCTTAATCTTCCCATCAAGGCCGAAGTCAAGCAAGAGACAAACGAGGTTCTCAAGGCTGTCGACGAGGACCGGAAATACGCCGTCCAAGCCACCATCGTCCGGTAAGTGACTCGGTAAAATATCGTGTTGTTCCTTAACTTACCCCACTTCGCTTCCCAGTATCATGAAAGCACGAAAGACCATGAAGAACCAAGCCCTTATCCAGGAAGTCATCTCTCAGATTTCTCATCGATTCGCGCCCAAAATTCCTGATATTAAGAAGGTTCGTGGTAGTATTGAACTGAATGAACTCTGTTTGACCTCTTACTTCGTGGTTTACAGGCCATAGAGACCCTGCTCGAGAAGGAATATATTGAAAGAGTAGAAGGGTCAAAGGATACATTCGCATACGTTGCATGAGACCGTTCATTTTCCTTCGACGACTGTCAGCCCTGCTCATGATTATCCTCGTAGTATGTACTCTTCTTTCATATAATTTCTTCAATTTTCTGTATCCACTTGCTGCATATGTATATGATTTACATCGTATCAATACATCTTAGAATGCAATTCTTAAAGACATTTAGTCCGTCGTGTGGCGATCTATATACGAGGGACAGTCGTTCAGATGAACTCAACGGTAGCGTGGCCGAGTTGGTCTAAGGCGTTGGATTTAAGAGTTGGGTATCTTCCCAGTCTTGCTTCCCAATGAAGGTGACTTCGCGCGAGTTCGAGTCTCGCCGCTACCATATTGTTTCTTTTTTTCTTGACTCGAGTCACTTCGACATCCTCCCCATGTGTAGTCCATTTTTTTGACTGACTGACTGACATACGGCCCGGCAAAAATATTTGACCTGAGGGACGATGCCAAACAAGGCACTGATCTTTGATTCCGCTTCCGACGGTAATTCCGGTCCGTTTTGCTCAATCTCTTCGACGTCATGGTCTCCAAAACTGATTCCGGAAAGACGTATCGCAACGAGTGTACAGGACATGCTCTCGAGACCGTAAAGTCTCATACAGAAGATCAGGACTTGACCCTCTTTGGAAGCTGCTTCTGCCCCTTCGTTCAACGGGTGTGGGTAAGCTTTGAATATTTGCAGATCCAGTACAAAGTACGTCTTTATTTGCTCTCGACGCTCGTATAATGAACAATGGGATTGACTTGAGAGCCCTAAAGTACTGTGAGGACATTGCTAGCTCTGACCATGATGTAGAGCTTATATGTGCTTGTTAAATAGATGAAGTAGATCCGTACAAGAAACCCAAAGATCTTCTCGAGGTTTCACCAAAAGGCCTCGTACCAGGGCTCAAATTGAACAATTTTCATCCTCCGAGAGCTCTCAATGAGAGCACTGTGATTCTAGAATACATCAACGAGTAAGTACTGGGTCGCAGTGCATATTCAGGTCGCTGCCTGCATATTTTTCCACTTACTTGGCCTTTGTTAGTCTTGCGGTCACTTCCAATGGTCGCAGCCTTTTGCCTCCCACAACCAACCCATGCAAGTATTCGGAGTAATTGTATAGTCATAAGACATATCACTCATAGTATAACAGATGCCCGAGCACTTGTCAGACTGCAATGCGACCATGTCAATCGCTCACTAGTTCCTTCTTTCTATCGATATTTACAAGCACAAGATCAAGATTCGCAAATAAATGGAGGAAAAGAATTTCATGAATCAATCGAGGGCCTTGTTGAGCTTTTAGAGCGTACCGAGAAGGAAGTTGTTCGAATTGACGGAGTTTCTGGTGCGGGGGAAAGGAAAGCTCTCGCTGTTGGGTTGGGTTTATGGATTCCTGAAAATGAAGAAGACCTTGGCCTTGTGGATGTTATGGCTGGCCCGTGTAAGTGACTCACACCACAGAAATCAGTTTCTTTTCTATGACAAACACTTATTGCCTTCTTCATTCTAGGGTTGTATCGAGCCACAAACGTTCTGAAACAGTACAGAGGGTTCGAGCTCCCCCGTGGAGAAAAGTTCGACAGATGGACAAGTAAACTCTTCAACCATCCAAGCTTCAAACGCACCTGCAATACAGAAGATCTGTATTTGGATAGCTATGAAAGGTAAGTCTTCAATTGGACTCCATTTGAGATTGAGTTTCTTGATATTCAGCACTAGATACGCATTTAATCGCTTAAATACGAGCCAGGTAGCGAATGCCGTGAATTCCGGTCGGGGGCTACCTTAGTGATGAAAAAACAAAATGAATGTAGGAATACACAATAACATTGTCAATAACCAATAAGTATGTAGCGCTCAATGTACGCCCAATTTCGCAAGGCCCCTCGAAAACAACAGAATCTGAATAAACGTTTGATGTGTGCCAATTGTGCATGACATTCATGGCATTCATCCAAAATAAAGAGAACTTGAGAATTCAGCAGTACACGCGATCCATGACCACTGTGACAACCTAACTGACAACCTAACTTCAACCTTCTTATCCAATATTGTACATGTATAGAATTTCCGGATTCAATTGAATGGATCTTACGAGTGAATATTGTCTCAACTCCCTGGCTGCTGGAATCCGTAGAAGGTACCTTCAAATTTCTACTGCGGCCAAAGGGATATTGACGTGTAAGTGTTCGTTGGCTTGAACGTAATCAAAAAACTTGAGTTTGACGTCGGGTCCAAAGATGAGCGCATGAGTCGAGCCACCAAAGTGGAACATCCCGAGCTCGTCACCAACTTTGACACTACCTCCAACTTTGACGCTGACCTGACACGTCGACACCTCGACCATTCCAACACCGATAAATACGACGCAACCAATATCTTTGTTGTCGGCATCGATGTAAATGATAGCACGAGTAGCAGCTTGGGTCAGCCATGCCTGGGAGCGGATGATAGCACCTCGAGGGTCTCCAGGTTGGAAGTCGGGATCAGATTTTTCTGCCCCTTCATCAGGCAGCGCCGCATAATATGTTCCCGGAATAATCTGGATCTCGCGAATGGTACCATTTACGGGGCTATGCCAGCGGTGATAGTCATACGGAGAGAGAAAAGCCTGATAGACGGTCCCACCGATGAACGATTGGGCAACTCTATCGTCCTGTATGGTGGCAAGCATATCATAGATTGAATAAGGCTGGCCCTTGAGCCAGAACTGGTCGTGTTCCTTGATTCCTGTTGCTTTGCGTAATACGGTAGATTCGCAAGCATTATAAATGAAGAAATTAGGGAAATCTGGCTGAGGCTGAATAGGGCGAGCACCCGGTTTGAATTTCCTGGTAAAGAAAGCATCCCAGGAGGTGAAGCCACGATTCACTGCAGTCTCATCGGGACATTCGTAGATATCATTAAATATGCCGCGGCCATTGTCAAGAGTCTCTAATCCAAGTTTACTGAACCAACCCTCGTCACTGTTGTTGAGTGTATTGTTGGATTTAGAGCTCTGAAGGTACTTGCCCCAAGAATCGAGCAAAGCCTTCAGAGCATCATTGAATCTTGTGTTGCGAAAGAGGTCGTAACCGGCAGCCGTGTTACTGAGAAGATCGAGCAGAAGATACAAGGGGACACCAATGGGTTCGCCACTGGTAATTTCGCCCTGCTCGTTTCGAGACACCTGAAATTTGGGCGCAGCAACAACAATCTTATCCATGCAGTGTAACAGTTGTTGAAAATTTCGAACCTAGGACCATTGCAATGAAATGTATCTGCGGCAGAAAACGTATAAACTACTACTTACCCTGTTTTCGGGTGCAGATTGTATGAAGGCTTTTTCGAACAAGTTAAGCAATCCGATATCAGAACTACTGATAATGGCATCTTCAAACTCTTGAACTGCCGGGACATGAGCTCCGGGCCTCTTTGGGTCGTACGTGCGCAGGAGATCATTGAAGAATGCTTCATAAACCTCAGGTTTAGCTGGAAGCCATCCACCATAGCGGGTTAAGATTGTCTGCTTAGATGGCCGAGGGCGCTGATATTGGGGCGGCATCGTCCTGTACCGTGATTAGAGCACATCTATAATGTACTATGTGATACGTACAGAGTATGGAATATCTTCTTGGACCTTGGGTTGTAAGTGGATGCGCTTCTGACTGTCAGGGCAGAATCGATTCTCTGTTATAAACAAAGGCGAATCGAGTGTTGAGTGCATAGATGAATCTCACTATTGTGACTCTGGATTCCACGGTACTGAAGGCCAATTTAGAACTCTACTTCAGTCGCGTCCGATATCAGTGGGACCTGCGACAGCACAAATTGTCCATTATACAATGAAGATACGCACTAAGCTTCGAAGATCAGGATATTATAAATCGAGGGTGGGGGACACAAAAGCAATGAATGACTCGAGTGGAAGTTGCGTGACTGGCTTGCACTGGGCGGCCTAGTACGAGTCATCTGCAGACAAGATGCTAATTGATTTTGGGACCTTAGTAGTTTAGGTCGGTGCTTAAACCTATCCGCGGTGTACAGTAAGAATGTTTCTGGATGGATTAAGAACTTTGTTGCATACCAAAATAGTTGAGATTGGTGTGCAAGGAATACACGAGTTGTCCCTTTCCACACAAGGAGGGGCAAAGCCAAATATAAATTTGACTGGCAGAATGTATATGCGGAAACGCACTTTAACCATAGTTTGATTAACTCAAAATCTTAATAGAACAAACGATGAGCAGCCTCTCATGCGGGTATGGAGTCAAGTACCCTGCATAACGAATCACTATGAACTTCCATTCGAAATGCTGTGGCGGAACCTAGAACTTGAATTATTTTTGCTTGGGATATAAGTGGCTTACTTAGTAGGCATAGTCTTATGATCCTTGAAGAAGACCTGCATGTTCGGGGCTTTTGAGATGTTACACTGGCTAACACTGGAAGCGGTTCCTCAAAATCACATATAGACCTATCTTGCCAGTAGGAACGCACATATAAATTGACCTCAACTTCAACGGGGAATAACTCTGCGATGTCTATCTGTTGACATCGCAGCAACCACTACGCGTGTAAGCGCGATTCCAAGTTTCCCTGTCATGAGCCGACATTGGAGCAAAAGTTGATTCATCGGTGTCTAGTTTTGACGAATGACAGACTCGGGAGGTGATGATTTCATGGAATATTCCGCTACGCAGATTTACGGGCAGATTTCATTGGCGGATTGGCATTGTCTCTGCGTTCCCTCCTTGCCGAAGCCAGCTACCGAGCTTTCTTTGGTGCCGGATTACCAACCTTTGCTGTTGATTGACATTATAAGTCGTACAACGACTAAGGAACTGTAAAAGACCATCATGGTGGATTTAGCTTGAGCACCTCATCTGGGTCTACCTCCCATAGTTGATCAGCATATAGCTGAAAGGGTAAAGTATACTTCCTTCCTCAGTTCCCCGTTCATGTCGACAGTCCTAGCCAGCAACGACGGCACAGCGACGGGTGTGTGTTTGACAGTGACTGACAGTGCCGCGACCACGTTGGTGAATTATTATATAAGCATGTTTCTGAGGGGTCATTCGACTGAGATGTCCTAGATATCCGATTTAGAACCATCCTAACTACGCCCTCAGTCCAAGCTCGACACTCTGAAGGACCACAAACATCTCAGGTCAACGAGTAAAGGTCCCAAAACTGCAACGAACGATACTATAATTCTTCTTCTCACATACGTCCAACGGATTTCTCACAACCTTCATTAATACCCCTGCTCACTGCTGTACCCTGCGTGACAGTGCCAGGCTCTGTTTCTTTCCTGGTTACCTGAAGGAAAATGCCTGACTACGTCTATGCTCTTCACGATTTCTCGCCCGAGAACGATGATGAAGTGCCGTTCAGGGCTGGTGAACGGATAGAAGTAATTGAAAAGGATGAAGCCTATGGTGATGGATGGTGGCAGGTACGTATAGCGCTCTCGTATCCTATAATTCCCTTGCTCCCTTCTCCACTTCTATGTCTAGGAGCTAACGCTGTAGTTTCAAAGGGGCGAAATCTCGCAGGCAAAACTGGTTTATTTCCTCAAAGCTACACAGCGCCTGCACCAACTGCGAATGGGTTTACCACAGGCGATGATGCAAATGATGTACCCTCAAATAACACGCCTTTACACCCACTAGATGAAGAATCTGAGCCGGAATCTTCACCGCAAGCTCCAGCCATTTTTGTCAACGGAAATGAAGCAGATGGCGAAGTCATGAAGGCAACCCTAACCGATGTGCAAAAGGCTATCGAACAGTTGAAAATGAACCGAACCTCTTCAATCGACGGAGACGGTGCCAGAAGCTTTAGTTTTGCCAGTACCAGGGAAGACAGGGATACCGATCGTGAGTCGGAAACAGACTACGAACTCAGCGATACGGAACACCAGGAGTTTGGTGATGACGGACATCACAAGAGTACGCGGCAACGCTTAGCTGAAAAGGCACGCAAAGCCGTAGAGGATGCTGAGAAACTCGAAATGATGATGGGAGGAATAAGTGCGGGGAATAGGACTAGTGCTCCGCCTATTGAGGTTGAGATGAGTGACGAGAGTGATGGTGAGGATGATGAAGACTACACTCATTCTTCAAGCTTTTTCCGTAGGCATTCCGCTATTGAAGAAGTGGACGAGGACACGGAGGGGAATGGCACTGCACCCACTCAAACACCACAGGTCCACCAGGATCTCACGCTTCCAGTACAGGAAATCGATGAATCAGACGCTCGGACAGCGACTGCACCCTCCTTCCCTTCATTATCCACTAATGAAGATGCCACAGACACCAAATCTATCTCGTTACCTACTCCGACATCTCCCGGCTTCGCTCATTCTGAATCTACTATATCTACCGTTATACCCATACCTATTTCCGCCATCACACCACCGTCGATTCCATCTACCCCACCACGAACAATCACACCTGCTGCTGCTGTCGCTCGGAGTCCTTCGCCCATGCGTGAAACACTCGTGGCCCTGCCTTCCCCAACAGCCTCTTCATTTCATAGCAACTCTGGTGCCTTCCATTTCAGTCCCCATCAATCACAGCACAATAGTGTTTCTTCAGTACCTTCTTCGGCCCTTGCTACTGCTCCAGTCACGACGAGCGAGAGTAGTCAAACCAACTCCCAGCCTTCTCAGAAAGACAACGAGCAGGCGAAGGAAAAGGAGAAGACCCATCCATCCGAATGGAATGTCGATGAGGTGGTTGAATGGGTGAGAGGCAAAGGATTTGGCGAAGATGTTTGCGCCAAGTTTACCGAACAAGAGATTACAGGCGATGTTCTCCTCGAGCTCGATGTCAATTTACTCAAGAATGAGATAGGCATCATGGCATTTGGCAAGCGTGTTCGTATAGCCAACGCGATCGCAGAACTCCGTCGACCACCTTCTATCAACTACGATGAACAAGTCTTGGAGAACCCTTCGTCGCCTTTCGCCGGTTCACAGTCTGTACACAGAATGATGAACCAGTCACCACAGTTATACGCCCAGTCACCTCATTCAGTCAACTCTCAACCGTACTCACACCCAACGCATTCGCGAAATCAATCCCAATCCCAGTCGCATCACTCGTTCCCAGGGAGTGCGACTTCCATGTCCGGATTCAGAGATTCGTTTGGCTCAAACGGAGCTTTAATTGCGGCTGCGGGTTTGATGAGTCCAGAAAGTGCACCTCATACAGGTGACTTGCTTGGTTCCCCAAGGTCGGATGAACTGTTCGTAAACAGCCAGGAGAAGGCACTGGTGAGTGCGAATTTAGTCCACTTGCCACTCGTTGACTAATGGTTCCTTTATTTACAGAAGTTCAGACCCGCTCAGCTTACGCTTTCGCCCAGCGATAGCGCATTGAACACGAGTGTCACGGCGATATCACAATCTACAGAGACTGAGGAGGATCGTGCTGCTTTGAGCGAAGTGAGTTTTTCATATCCATTATCGGACTATTTCACACTCACAATGGGACACCCAAGGGCGAAATATCCGCGGGGATGACCCAGAGCGCGCGGCGACGGCTCTTTGGTCGTTCCCACGATTCAGCTGCTTCCGGAAGCAAGGACTCTCGTCGATCTTCGTTTAAAGACGGCGCATCGCCGACGTCCGCGGCTATTGTTGCTGAGGGCGACTCGAAGGAGAAGGACGAGAAAGAGAAAGATACCGAGAAAGGAAAGGAAACAGATGGAAAGGATGGAAAGAATACAGTCAGTGGAAAGAGCCATGCAAGAGCCAGGAAGAGCATTGATGCCGGGAAATCTGGGGAGCGTCTCAGTATCTTCGGTGGCACGTTTAGTGGCATGGGCAAAGGGAGGAAACCTGCGCCGCGGTATTCAGCGTAGGTGTTTGATTGATTTGTTTATACCGTTGGCTAATCCTTATTTTGCGTAGAGCCAGCGAAGATGTTGTACCACCCTCACTCGTGGACAAATCCACTTCTGGATCATCCTTCCATCTGCCGCGATTTTCTACTGGTCCAAGAAAACCTAGTACCCGGCCAGGATCCTCCAGTGGTCCTAAAGAAAAGGAGAAGAGTAGTAGTAAAGATTTACTTTCACCCCATAAAGAAGGGACCATCCGTGATCCCTCTCTATTGCGCAAACGCACTTCGTCATACCCCGGCCCAAATCCCTCAGCAGATGCTGTGACGAAAAAGAGAAGCTCGAGCGAGTCTTCTCCGCAAACCAATGGGAACGGTCAAAGTGCGGTCAAGGCCAACGGTGGTGGGGATAATACGCCGCTGAGTCCTCTGAAGCCTGGTCAGAGTATCTTGGATCAGATTGGTGAACCTGACCATGCTGGTTGGATGAGGAAGAAGGGCGACCGGTATAACAGCTGGAAGTTGAGGTACTTTGTGCTGAAAGGACCACATATGTATTATATGAGGAGTGATAGTCATTCTGTAAGAGTTTTTACTTCAATCTTATACTGCCCCACATCTCACACATTTTTATAGGAGACAAAAATCAAAGGATACATCAACATCATCGGATACAAGGTCACTGTTGACGAGAATGTAAATCCAGGGAAATATGGATTCCGGATCGAGCATGAAAACGACAAGACACATTTCTTCAGCTCGGAGGAAAAGGTGGTCATCAGGGAATGGATGAAGGCAATCATGAAGGCAACAATAGGCAGAGATTACACGAGTGAGCTGAGAACTCTTCTTTCGTGGTGCCGTTCTAATTTTTCTCTTTGTCAGAACCCGTCATCTCATCCGTGAATATACCAACAATCCCTCTCATGGTCGCCCAAGCTATGAACCCTGCTCCCCGTCCACCATCTCCTACGGCTCGAGATGCAACCCAGAAGGCGCTGCGCCGCGAGAATCCTAACCAGTTATCGAGTCGTGATGCACGAGTACTGATGGGCCTACCGACTAATAGCGACACGAAGGAGGAGCGGGTGAAGCTCGAATCGTTCTTCAGCTCTACAACCGTAGATGATGCCAGCAAGGGACCAGCCCCACCAAGACCCTCTCGGGAAGCCAGGAGGGCTAGCGTTTCTCAGTCATTGGTATAACCCGCTTTATTGGACTATCATCGTGGCCATCACTCATACGTTTATACAGGTACCAAACATTCCGATAGATGACGGCCTCATTGACTGGGCCAACTCCCATCTGCCTTCATCACTACAGATAATAGATACCAGTGGTGCGATATGTGGAGGACTGACGATTCTGCGCCTTGCCGAAGCTATCAAAGGACGACCCTCCTCTCCTCCTGTCCCAGACTCCGCCTTCCCCGCTGACCCAGGCGATGACAAGCTCGACGGTCTTTTCCGTCTATTTGACTTCCTCCTCGATAACGACGTGAAGATGGGGAGCGTCAGCATCAATGACATCCGCCAGGGTAAGAGAGACAAGGTGCTTCAACTCCTCAAGGCGCTGAAGGCTTGGGAAGATAAAAGAAAGGCGATTGCGCAAAGTATCGGGAAGGGCGCAATGCAAGCGGGTGGTTTTATCGCTCCGCCGTATAGCTTACCTGTTCCACAATAGATTTGAACCTGTGTTCTTTTTTCCCCCGGATATGGACGTTGTGTTTTTTTACTTATTTTGTTGTTACTTCTGATTTTGAGTTGATTGTAGATTCTTGCTTTGCGCTACCCACTTAACCAGTGACTTGGATTTCCCTCCCTTACCTTTCTAAATTCAATAACTGTATCATGTCAAGATGTATCTATCCGCGTTCTCGTTTCTTTCTTATTCTTTTTTGGCATTCACTATCGTCTCGTCTAATTTAATTTAGCGGACCTCGTCGTTCTTTACCCATAATCGGTTCCTTACTCTATGTTTTCTTCTGGGAATCCTCATGTAGAGCCTTGAGATCGTCGAAGATAACTACTGTTGAAACTTCATACAGTAGTAACGACATTGACACCCTCAACCTTATACACTACGTTCTCTTTTCCTCGAGGTGTAATGAATGTGTTGGTGTTCGGATTGTAAGCGCAGCAGGATCTCATCAGATAGTAAGTTTATTGAAGGTAGGGCACGGATGGTGTACTGATACGCAGCAATGGAACTCAGGAAGGCATTCAAAGAAGGTTGCTGCGACTTAACTGTCGTTGAACTGCTGATCACTGCATGTTCGCGTCTCCGGCGCTAAATCGAATTCTAAGTTCCTGCGCTTGATCCACCATGATAAAATATGATTGTATCGATTCTTCGTCTATCCATCCCCCACTATATCTTCACCATTTTGGTGATCACTCAGCTGCAAGGAAAACTCGAATTTCCTGGTCAGTGTTCAACCACAGCTCTCGTTGTTCATCTTACAACGCTCCTTACTTCAGGTTCTGTAAACACTGCTCACAAATATCTGTGACTTTACAACTTGGTTCACCATCTCAAGTACAATTATCTAACTTCAATCATTGAGTCTTTCTGATCTTTGGTTCTTCATTCAGCAATGGCACCAACTCCAAATGCTCAGCATCGATTTACGTTTCCGCCATTCCCTCCAGTACCTACAGGTGCTACCGTGATTTCCTTCAAGGATTTCAAAGAAAATGGTATCAAAATCCAAGAAGATGACTACGATGGACCAGAAGTAGATGCACTTGGCATTTCTACTGTTACGATCGAGAAAAGGCATGTTGGGGATTTTTGCAAATCGAATACCAGGAGCGCACAACACGTGGTGACCACTGGTCAAGAAAGCAGTACAGGAGGTGCTCCTTCCGTGTCAAAGACATGGTTGCAAGATTGGGAAGAAATCAGTACAAGGAAAAGTGGCGAGTTTTATGACAAGTGAGCAGGTTACTTTTTGTTCCATGATAAAAATTCAGCGATTATCACGTATAAATCAGAAAAGAAAATATCACAGACAGAATTTACCAGGCCACGCGCGCTTTCAACGCAGGTCGCGCATGGCCGAAGACGGACAGATATAAGCGTGTCCGAGAACAGTGGGATCAGGTAAGTTGAAGTGGTCCTCGTTCATGTGCTCAGAACCACACGTCAATTCCCAAACAGTTTCAACTATACACAGGAGTATTGAACATCATACCTGCGCATAAACCTGTACAGGATTCGATGGCACTCACAGAAGACGACGGCTTCGAAGATGATGACAGTGGTTTTCCGGAAACCCTGCCGTTCGTATCTACCGATGAACAAGAAGGAACTACTGACATCCACGAATCGGCAGGCAAGGTCGAGGTGAGCACCAAGCAATATACTCATCAGACCCGTACGTCAAATGAGAGCTATCATCAGGATCCAGCCCCCGTTCAGAGTCAGAAAGAAATCGATTACCTACGGCAGCAGTTGAAAGATCGTCACATGAATAGATTAAATGAATTCTTGATTGACCCCAAGAAAGGTGTGCAAGTATACCTGTCGAGCTATATGAGAAAGCAAGGATTCCATTAGTGCGTATACTATTGTTTTATTTTACTTTATCATAGGTAATCGACTTTAACAGTGTGGACGAAAATCTCAGTCTCATTCCAACTCTTACCCGCTTCTACATCAAGTTTCTCCTTAAGGATGAGGTATTCAGCGTCAAATCTGAATCTGAAATCATAGCCTCTTTCAATCAAGCGCTTGCTATTGTCGAAATCGCGCAAACTGAGCTCCCGCTCACTTCCCAGATATCGAGATGTCTCCCATGGCATGACATGTTCAGCGGAGGGTGCGAGGAGTTGTTCAAGGTCGATAATCTGAACGTGCATGTTCCAACATGGGCGAATCAGAGTAATCATAATCTGGCGTTGGATGTCGTGGATGGGCAAATTGACATCAACTCAACTGCAGCGGCGACGATTGCATCTACGCCTGACTCTGAAGAACAGGAAGCTGAGGACGACATCGTTACTCCAACGATCGAACACGACTTGAACGAAAGATCAGTTCAAGGTGAGTTTGTAATTGAATCCGTCAATGGCACAATGTCGAACAACCTACTCTCAGAATCCGACGCTTCGCCTTCCGTCTCTAGCTTTTCGGCAACGTGGGGCTCAGATCAAGACACTCTTGAGATTGCCACAGACGACGTCAGAAAATGGGACGTGGGATTCGACAAAGGTGATACTGGCGCTTCTGCCGGTTGGGGAGTGATCGACAGTGCCGACATATCATGGGGCGAAGATGATTTAGATACTTGGGAAATTCCTCCTCCCACGACACTTCTACCTATCTTGGGTCCTACAGCACTTCCACTCACACATACAAGTGGTGTTATCGAATGGAGCATGCGTCGGATTCGATCAATCGTTCATCCTGATGCTGCTGCTGCTGCCACTACTCAGGTGTCCGTTATCTCAACCTCTGATGGTCCTTCAGCAGAAGCGGTAGAAGTGTCCCTCCATGCCTGTTTGAGTAAGGTTGTGATGGAGCCTTGGATTGACTGGGAAACTCAGGATGAAGATGGCGATACAGCGTCACCTCAGATCAAAGCCAACTCCCGAGGACTTGTAGTTGTATATGATGAGGGTCAGGGTGTGCTGTATGAAAACGACTCGGATATTCGGTCTAATGCTTTTGCTGTCAATGATGACGGGAACACGGCTCAAAGTCCTCCTGTTCCCCATGATCCCCTCAAGCACTCAATTGTCCTCCTTATTGAACCGGAAAATGCGCAACTATTAAGGGTGGGTATGGGCTTGGGTGCTACCTGGATTCAAATCGCAAGGCAGTCAGATTTGAGAAGTGAGCTGGAGGTGAAGGATATGGAAACTACGGGCGTTGTGAAAGCCCCTAGTGAGGCCTGTTTAGATGAATCCAACGTAGTTGGCGAGAGGTTCTGGTATTTGTCTAATCTGTTGGTCGTGCTCCCTAGTTACCACATTCCGAGCCCGTATTAAAAGTTTCTGGTATGCGTGGTTTTTGAGAATGTATATACTACATACTAGTATCATCTTATACCATTATCTTGCTCTCTGGCTATTAGCCAAAAACACATCAGATGTGATCCAAGCAAGGTGTGGTCCACAACAGTGGAGACTAGTTTCAATGTGCACAGACTCTTGATGTTGTAACTGCCCATCCTCGCTACTACAATTCGAAGGCAAAGTCACACATATTTCCCGTTTTGATGCTGCTTTGATTCGAGTTCAGAATGAGGACGGAAGTGGGGAATTCCTCCAAGGTGCATATATACCTCTCATGGTTTGCAAGCCACCTCTAATCTAAGTGCTTTGATCTAGGAATACAGATTGGTCGGGTTCGAGTTATCTTTTCTCTTCCAACTCGGAATCTGGGTACCTTATTCCCAAAGAGCATTACACCAACTTCTCATCTAGCCTACGTCGAATGGTTCACCAAATTTTCACAGAAACCAGAGCCTCATACGGGCTTGTATCGTGCCAACCCACAGCTTTGCAAAGATGGATCTCGCGCAACTTCGGTAATACCATTAGAAGCAATACAGCGAAGTGCTCATTTATATCCGAAATAGGGAGGAAGTGTTCCATCTAGTTGGACACATGAGTCCGTATTGGATGAAAGCCCATCTTTCCTACTTAGTTCTTTTAAAGATATCCATAAGTATGTACTTTAATATGTCTTGATCTGTCTGTGTTGTTTGGTTCTGAGTGCTTGAACATTTCCTGCCTTCTACTTCTATTCCTACTACATCCTTGTTTTCTATGCATTCAGCCTATCAGACCTCAGTATCTTGTCAACAATATAACTATATGGCTCTCGAATAGACTAATATCTTTGCAAGAAATTTTTGTATTAATTCAGAAATTATGCGATGGGGTTCAAAATTCTTCGGGTTTCTGGAGATTTTCAAAATTAAGAAAGTCTTCAAAACCGAACTGGGCTTTGGGTACTCCATCGAAAATTTATTCAGATTCTCTCACATTTCAAGTGGATGATTTTCCTGATGAATGTACTCTGGATTTCCACGACAGGCGTTTCTTCAAGTGATGCTTACTTCGGCTCGGACGGTTCTCAAGTACAGTATCTGGATTCTTTGATTTTACAGTATCTACATTATTTGATCCCCTCCGGGGGTCGACGCGATATACGCGCGCATTCCAACAATGGAATGATAACTTAGCACACCAACTTATCTAGTCCAGCTGGTACCTGTCCGTGGGCAGTAAATATTCAGCAGTATCAACGAAAAAGAAAAGAGCAATTAAGTGAAGACGGGTGACTTACGGTCCAATTATGTGTAGAAGCGGCTCTCTTGTACCCTTGCAGTGCCTCCAAAATGCCGTAGGGAGTATTCCAATTCGGCGCCAATCGAGCCGGTCTAGGATCCAGATTCGATATTGCAAGTTTGATCTGTAGAAGCACTGAGGCAATGCTGAAAGTCGAACTTCAGATGGCGAGGAGCACTATCATTATCATGTACACCTACTTATAACTGGGAAGCCATCCAGACGAGGTAAGCAGGTCCATGCAGATTGACCCCCCTGCAAGATGAGAAAGTTTTCCATCGTGGGGTAGTAGCAGTTTCGGATAGACGTACCTCCAGTTACATGACCTCCTCCTCCGTGGATGAATGGTAGGAACCTTGGAGTAATGATGCGGAAGAATGGTGGACTAATCGGGTAGTCTGGTGGGAAGCGAATTTCAAAGATCACAGAGTTGAGATTCCTGAGTATATGGAATGTTAACAGATTCCCAAACAGCAACGTTGAATAAAAAAGCTTACTTCGCCTTCATGTCCTTCGCAATTGGTAACTTTTCATCAAACGAATGCAGTTCTACAATCCACTGGAAAAGATTGTCACCCATGAATTCCTCAGACATGAACCATCCTAGTTCCTTTAAGCTACTGCAAGATTTCTGCTCCTTCAACAACGCTTTCAACTCTTTCTGCACCGCCATCGTCGCACCAGGGCTAGACAGCTCGGGTGGAGGCATAAGTTTCGAGACGGCTGATTGAACATATTCCGAATCATGGACCCAGTCATCGACAGGACGCGATTTAGGCAGAAGTTGTTGCTGACGGGCGAGGGTGGGAGCAAGGGATGATGATAACTGATAAGGGGCACCCTTCGAGGGGCTATAGTCGTCAAAGCCCATTTCGTCGTCGTCGTCAATCTCCATTGGATCATTTGCTTTGCCCTTGCCCTTTCCAATGAACTCATCTGCAGACTCAACAAAGTCGAACACGGCTTGGTCCTCACTGTCAGGATTGTCTTCGACCGCTTCAGCCTGTCGTATACGAAGGATAGTCTCCAACTGGTGTGTCGGCTCGGGAATCTGGATGCGTTGTTGTCCCAAGGTGACAGGATGGGCAGGGTCAAGCTTCACGAAAGGTGTTAGCTGTTGAGGTTGTCTGGGTGGTATAGGAATTGTTTCCGGTTCATCTGTACTCCCTTGAGTGGCCCTACTTTTAACGAGCAGATAACGGCTATACATTTTCAGGGGGCTTGGTCATCGAGCTGTTTTGTAAAGAATGTAGGGATGAGACGTACACAAACAGCCAATGCGTCTTATCGACAACGAAATGCGGAGCAGAGCTGACGAATTCTGAGGGCAGGTTGACTAACTCGACGATAGCGACACAACTCGAGGGGCAGATTTTGCTGTTACGCCAGCCAGCGGCACGATTACCTCCTGCATAGTGACCCATGGACAAGAGACCGTCTTTCGCGAGGTATACACCTGGAATTTCGATTTCGATTTGTCAGAAAGGTAGACAGTGAAGGAGTGAATAAGACCTTGCCATTCCCAAATGCTCTACCGTTGGCAATCGATTTGAACCACAATCCATTTCGGATGATCTAATCAGAAGATTATGAGCCATATGAACAACAAGTTTTCCTATCGTCACTCACCGAATGCCAATTTCGAACAGGAGAACCATGGAACGCCTGTCAACGCAGAAAGCAGACATTAAATTAGAACGTGATACGACGCAATAAGATTTAGTCCTACGTACATAGAGCGACGGATACATCTTTGCGTTCTGGTTTCGAGTTTTGGATTCTTCGACAGCAGCATTGAACTTGGCTTCGGCGTCAGGTGCGCCAACACTGAAACGATACTGTCTCCAGCAGGATCCTAAGAGAAGCAATCCCCTACGGCTTAGTAACAGAGGGGCGTGCAATAGTAATCGAATGGTCACATACCGACGTTCTTGATTGACTCTTCCTGCGATGAAATCTCTTCAAGGTACGCCGTACAAGACCCTACACACCTGGGGAACACTACTTTATGAGCACGTATGATCTTTATGACGAAGGAAAAATGCTTACCATCGTAACAGTTTCCACGCAGCAGGTAAAACATCAGCCGCCTCGGGCATTGTTACGAGTCGCGGTTTAGACTTTCCAGGCTTCACCTTTCGTTCAAGATGTTTCCTGTAGCAGGTCGTTTAGAGAAGCGAACTTGAGCCATTGATAAAAGACACACTTGATTTCGAGGATCTAGAATTATTGATGTTTTGAATGTAAGATAAGTCAACGGCAAGGGACACTTACCGGAGGCACCGAGTCCAGCAATTGCACAACTGATGCTCGCATCTATAAGATATATCAGTGCTACATTTCCCTTTTCATGTACGCAACATGTGCAATGACTTACCTGTTGCAAATCAAGGTCATCGAAATCACACAAACAATCTGAACCCACCACCGGTGGCCGCGGGGATTCAATCGGAGTAGGAGGAGGAGTGGCGATGCTATTTTGCAAATGACCACCAGCGATCATCACTCTCGTCTGTAGAGCAGAGTAACTTGTCTGGGGAGGCAAGACCTTCGTCACATCTGGTAACGGAACTCTGAGGCCCATGCCTATTGGTAGAGGCTCGTCAAGAGCGCTTTCTATCGCGGCAGCATATGTGATCGAAACCAAGAGATCAACGGTTTCTGGATTATGGATAATATCATACTGGGGAGCAGAGTTGCATGAGGACAGTGAAAGAGTGGCGCATTAACTTGGGAGTCTTTACCTCAACAGAAGGACCGTGATTCAGAGAATAGTATCGATATGAGCAAAGCTTGGAGTTGCAGACATAGGGTTTCAAAGCAACATAGTCCGTGTCGAGTTTGTTGTGGCAGACAATACAGTACAGTGTGCAGAGCTGGAAAAAATTAGAATATTGTACAACAAGATGCACCATCAAACCTACTGTCAGTCTTCTAATCAAGTAACAGAAAGCCGTCAACGGCCAGTCTAATTCTTCGTCTTTTCCTGTACCAGAAAGAGGATCATCAGGAAGGATGGTGGTATTTTTACGTATCATTGCGCGTTCGGCCTGATCCTCGACCTGGATTTCCTGTAACACTGTGTTGGCATGTGTTTCGTCAATGCTAGAGGTTTCCGAAACTTACTTGAAGCTTGTTTTCCAGTACTTCCTGCTCTGGCTTTTGACTTTTCTCCGCTTCCGAAAGGAGCCTTTCTGCGCCTGCCCATCCTAGCCCGTATTTCCTCCTCATATTCACCAGCTTTGCAAATTGGTGATTCATAAGTGAGTCCAAGGATCCGCTTAAACTAAACTTGTCAAAACGATCAGGTACATCTTCCTCCTCTTCCTCTATCTCTGGTTTCGTAGCAGGATTAGGATCGGCGTCCGAATCTTCCTCGTCCATTTCGAAATCATTCATCACTGCAGCCTCAGCAGCAGCTTTTTCTCTGGCAAGCCTCAGTTCATCCTCTGCGTCGTTTGTGATCAAAACGAAGTTCCTGCACGCATCTTTCGCGTGTTCCTTGCTTGGTTTGTGTATTCCACTCAAACCAACATGGAACTTGAGTTTTGTCGCATCCGAATCTGAAGGCGGGTATACTCCCCTGAAGCCAGAGATTAAAAGTACGAGATGCTGCGTTTTCGAAAGAAGCCGACGATCCCATGCGTTTAAAGCTCTTGGGGGGACAGACTCTGCAAGTTTGATGACGGAGAGGGATACACTGATGCAAAAGTCGTCTCCACTAAATCGAATAAGGCCCGGACGATACCCTCTGGCAACGATCTCGAGGAAATCGTGCTGCAATCGCGCCATTTTCATCAAGTTCTGGGACGTGCTGTTCATGTAAATGTCGTCGTCTGATGAGACAGCATAATCTTCGCCTTCCTCGTCTTCGTCGTCATCGGACTCGCTCTCAAGGGAACCTGTGCTCATGGCTTTTGTAAGATTTGCAAGTACTTTGTCCATGGTTTCTACAAGCAAACAAGAAGGAAGTGAGACTATTCCCTCAATTACTGATTGAATGTTCGCGGCGACATGCGAGTCCGGCGAATATGAGAAGCAGTTGTGGGTCTTCGGGTAGTCAGCCGTGTCCGAAAGCATGATATTCACATTCAGAACGTGGTCGCCACTCGATGTGGTGATGACGGCCTCGAAAGTGCCTTCGTCGTCTCCAGCACGGACACCTAATGAAGAGTTCAGTCTCCTATCTAGAATAATATTCATCGTCCTACTTTTCAATGTAAGTCCATGCGCCACAAATCCCTGCGTACAAGCCACCTTTAGGTCTTCAAGATCAGCGACGAATCGTTTCCGCCCTTTCAGATTCATGTTCTTAGCTGCTAGAGTAGAGGTAGGAGGCATATTGACCGAGGTTCCTTCTGTCAAAGGAAAAGATATCAAAGAAGTGGGTCAAAACGCGATGACAATGAAACGCGACGATACTGCGAAATACATGTATACATACTTGGATGGTGATGAGTCTTCTGCCGCTTGATATGCTGCGCCTCAGTCTCAGAATCGGAGTCAAGGATCTCAATGAATTCCCTGGAAGACATGCGGTGAAGAGCAAAGCCACAAAAAACAGGAGCCAATTGCTGTTAATGACTGGCGCTTAAAGCAACGTGCCGTTTAATGACTCATACCCACGACCGGCTGCGGTTGAGGCTGAGTCGTTCGAGAAATACTGTTCCAGCTTGCCATTGATTCGTGAATACAAATGATACAAAGTTCATCAAGAAAGGAAGAAAGCCAATACGGCTCCATTTCGTACCATCAACTACCACTTGCCTGCGCAGCAGCGTCGGAATTTCACCTTGGAGTCATGACCACAACTTCAGCAGTACTCTAATCTACTGCTCACAGTCAGAGGTATCGCCGACGATATCAGCACCAGGCAACAACCAGCGAAATGTAATGCTCAGGCGAGTTGTACGAGGGATCCATTCTACCTTCACCCCTAAGTTACTGTCATTCGGAGTCACCTGCGGTACTCCCTCTCCATCTCCAACGTTAACCTCATCGCCATACGAAACCCAATCTCCCGTTCGTCGTTCAATACCATGTGTCCATTTGTATCGCGCCTCTCCGGAGAGAACGATGATACTATTCGGAGGAAGGTAAAGCTCATGAACATTTGAGTTTGAAAGAAAAACGGAGTCGACAGAGGACGAAGGTGAATCCGATCGCGATTGCAAGGACACACGCTCGGCAACTTCCTCGATTCCTTCCTCTCGAATTCTCTCAAACCGCATGACACATCCTCCGCACAAACTCACACCGATAATTCCATCTCCAAATCTGCGTAGCAAATCAACATGAGGCGAGATACCTTCGCCTGGCGCGTAGAGATTCAGTATCGCTTGTCTCGCTTGCTTTGTCTGTTTTGAATGCGTTTCGATCTGTAAAGTAGAAGGGGCGGAGTGTTCTGAACGTCCCGTCCCAGTGTGCAAAGCAAACGAGGGGAACAGTAGTTCATGCGTCTTTGAAGAAAGAAGTGGCGGTCGGATGAGGTCAGATATCTTGTCGAGCAGTGCGAGGAGGGGAGGAGGAAGGCCATTAGATGTAGGACACCCTGATCCCGGGCCACGCGAAACGGCGTCTTCGGTCACGGTCTCCTGGTCTACCGGTGCTCTCTCGAATAGCATAACCTGATTAACCCTCCGCTTGCCATCATCATCATTGAAATATCGGCACATGCAATAGCCTGCCAATTCCTCAGCCAAATCTTCTGAGAGCCTCACAGAAGGATCGAAAAAGAGTCCGGGAATAGGTGGAGCCGTCCGCAGAGCTGTCTGAGCTTTTTGGTCCGGATGTAGATCGAGTGGAGGACTCGCAGGAAATGAGGATGGGGATGTAAATACCTCGTCAAACAACGAGTCAGGCGATAGCGACGAGAACGTATCTACGTCTATATCGTCGGGGGTTCCGGATGCATTGCCCTGAGGTGTATCCAGCGTCGTAGTAAGCGACGTTGGAATTTCAACATGAAGTCTCATTCGCTTCCAATGGTGGTTCTCCTCCTTCTGCGGGTTAGACTCTATAATGGATTCTACCAAATCTGGCTTTCGTTTCATTTCACCCCTGGAAGTAGTGGCATTCAATCTTGCAGTCACGTATCACGATTGTTGGTAGCTGAAATGATCCTAGAATAAATCTTTCCTCGTGTCATCTGTATGAAATATCCAGTGCGTGGTACTACACTTACCGTATCAATCAGTTTAACAAGAAGAGCAAGTTCGGGTTTCGAGGTGTTGCAAAGATTTCACCTCAGTTGAGTTGAAGCTTCCGGTCCTTGTAGCTTGCTCAGCACAACAAGTGAGTATCTTTGTATCCTTCTGGACTCCCATGGTCTATGAGTAAAAGTAGCGTGCAAAGAGTGATTCTAACCTGTAAAGCGGAAGCAAAATGGAGGCAAAGAATCCGGCGGATATACGGACCGACATTATACGTGGCGCACTCAAGCGCCCAAGCCGCTTACCTTTACCAGCCACTCTCAAGACCAATAAGTAACGCCTCTTATATCGATATCCTATGCACCTAAAGGCATGCCCCGGTCCTCTGCTGGACTCTCCAGAGCTAACGAGCTTTAGTTTTCGATGATCAAAACTGTCCCATCAATGTCGAGGAACAATCGAGCTAGATGCTTTGCGATGGACCTCTGGTATTCGAGAATCCTCCGAGTCGATTCACATAACCGGAACGAAGTCTCAATCAATATGAAAGACTCCGTTGATAGTGTTTCATGAACTTCTGAGCTCTGTCGTCTTTCTTTGGAGACACAAGCTGTGTCTGAACTGCTTGCAAGTATAATGGCAATCCGGATACCTGATCTTCCATCAAGAATTGAGACAGCTTCAATTCAAGTAAGGCCATAAGGGATCCGTACATTCGTTGCTGATGCTCCCAGAAGAAGGAACAAAGGTCATCAATCTACAACTAATTCAAACTGGGGCTGCAACTGTGGGCGACTTCGAATTTATCTAACTTGATATATGATCCCAGACGGTGAATGCGTTGGCATTTTATCTTTCCGTTCGTTTCTCTTCTTCTTCTTTTACCCTCTTTTGTTTCAGACGGCAGGTCGTCTCTCCTCTCGTATCGTGTCGCCATGATCCTAGCCGCAAAAATCATTGCGTTTAACACCATCGAAGCCATCGGATTTGCCGGCGCCTTTGCTATAACTATCACCGCACTCCTTTCTCCTTCTATTCCACGTCTGTCAACTTGGTATCTGGTGCTATGCAGTAGCGGTGTATATTCACTGTCAATGCTGCTTCTGGCAATAGCTCATGCTCAGTCCGGGGCTGAGCCTAACTCTACCTTGTGTCTTATTCAAGGTGCATTGATCTATTCTGCGGCGATTTGGTGAGTAGTACTACATCGTGTTCAATCTATCCATCAGCAATTGGACTAATGGTAAACACATTCAGGCTGATGGGCTCAGTATGTATGTTTTCAGTACAGGTGAAGACAAAGAATTGAATCGTCCTATCTACTAACATTTCCACTAGTTCTACTTGACAGTACTTTTTTATACCAAGCAATATTCCGGGTTGATCCATCGTGAAAGCAAATTGGTGATCTAGATAAACATTGACATTCAACTCAAAATAATGAAAGACTATCTAGCTTTCTGTTGGGATGGTATCAATCTTTATGTGCGTTACTGTTTCACTGCTTATAGTAAGCTCTTTCTGAAAATTTCTCTGCTTGACTCACTGATTTTTTGTTCATCTGTCAGTATGGGACTCTTCTGCCACACATTGTTGTGCGTAGTCCTCAGCAGTTCTATTGCCATTTTTCGAGTGAGATAGGGTATGAGAGAACCTCCACTGTTTAACCTGATTCTTCAATTTGACCTATACCACTAGAGTCTCTATTGTTGCTGTATTTGGGGTTTTGTTTGCCATCGTCGCTGTTTTCTGTGAATGTATGTATGTTTTCTGTACATGATTGACCTTCCACTCAGCGATGAACTGCAGATCATACCGGTGTATTGCTTTACCGGCATTGGAACACAGTTGATATTTATCAGCAATCAAACGGCACTTTGTCTATTGGAGTTCTGGCTCGTCTAGCAGGTTTCAGTCTGGTTTCTATACTCTCTGTATCGTGAGCAACTGGATTTTCACGTCCTTGAAGTCATGCAATATTGATACTACGTCTGCAGATCCTGCGCGCTCTTCACATTTCAGTCTGCTTCTAATCAAAGTTTTGAATACATTATTTTATATACGGTGGTCGGTGAGATACGTTGAATTGCTTTGTGGGCCCGACTTTCCTCAAGTCTATTTTCCAGTGGCAAATGCCGATGTACCTCTTTTGGGTCTTAATAAGGTCAGGAGTTAGGATTATGCTCATTCTGTTCGAATTTACTGACTAGAACTTTAGTCTATTATTCGTGCTTGGATGTTCTGGAAGAAGACTGGCACATCTGCAGAACAGTATTCCGGACAAGTCTCAGGTCCTTAAAGAGGCCCAAGCCGAAGGACAAGGCTATTGTAGGAGTCATTGCGTATCTATTTGAGCTTCTAATTTTCTCTCCTCTATGCCAAACCATGCAAGCATGTCTCGTCAACTTGACTCTAAGCTGAGCTTTCATGTTGGGTCTAGTAGTAACACCACTAAATAATGGTTGATATCATTGCAAATACCTACCCACTACCTATATATGTCCGTAGTCTTCCGGTATCAAATATATCCATACATTCTAGCAGTACGGTCATTGTGTAATATGAATTTGTGGGCTTATGGAAGGGGTTACTTACTGAACAAGTACGAAGAGTGTTTGGTGCTCCTATGTGCTCCTATGTAACGCCAACCAGTGATGTAGGAGGCAGCCCTACAGTCTCACAAAGTATTTCAAGAAACATTTTAGCTGGTTTTCTAAAAGGACTACACACTGCATGAAATAGCAAACAAAAATCTGACAAAGAAACGAATGATAGTATAACAAAGGCAACGACCCCTTAGTCAGCACCTTTGTAGTGTTGCCGCCGATGGAATGGACTCTCACAACTGAAGTAGAAAATATTCCGCTCGACAGAATGACATGTTGAATCATGGAATATCACTGACTGTGTCATGCCCTGCCTAAAACCAGACCAGCCCCAGTACCCGCCACACGTTGTCACACACTCTATACACCTCCTGCACTTCCCCTACACCTCCCAAGTCACCTCCCCAAGTACCATCATGCACCTCCATCCTGCACCTTCCCACACAAGTACCACCATATACCTACCCAAACGTTCTTCACCGACACACGTACATTCCCCGGCGCGCATACAGGACCCCCTATAGCAACCCCATTAAGTATCAATCTCAATTACCGCCTCATGTTCACTAGATCCCCTGATGTTCCCTTGTCCACTTCCTGTACCTATTTAAGTAGCTCTGACACGTCCCCAAGCCCCAGCTTGGTATATTTTGAACACACACCCTTTACATAGGTCCAGTCCCTGTCCCTTTGTACCTGCTACCTATACGGAATTCTCTCTACTCTCTGTTTCTCTACCTCTGTTTCTCTCTACTATTGTCTATTGTCTCTCTGATCGTCTATACGATTGAATATACGCTTTTACTTCAAGTCTAAGCCTTCCGAGTGAGTCTCCGAGCTCCCTCGAACATTACTAAAGCTCCCCAACGCCTACCCGCTTGGTGAGTTACCCTTCCCCAAACCTCCCAGAGCTCCCTAGCTACTTCGTAAGCTTCGTGTCAAGTCCATGCCGCGGGCCTCCATTCCGCCGCTCGGTATTCCGAAGATCTGCTTTTATTGTAATCTCTTCCTATTGTTCTTTCTCGCTACACATATCCTTTCGTCCTAGTTTCTCATTATTGTCTTTTACTCTTTCGTTCTAGTCTCTCCTTATTGTCTTTTACTCTACCCTGCAGGTACTACTCGTATAGCTCCTAGTAGTTAGTCTGGCGCTCCGCACCGATGCGCCGCTCCGTAGATATAAATACTGCCTGTACGCTACTGTAGTTCCTTAGTTTAATTATCAACTTAGATCAACTTAGATCTCCCTTCTCAACTTAACTCTTCTCTAAGTCTTCAGGCTCAACGCCTCGAAGTACGTTCTCCTCGACCTTAGGACTTTAACGTTCTCTGGTCCGCTCCTCGTCATCGGCGATACCGCCGCTCCGACCTGGCTGCTACTTAGCTCCTCTCTCTCTACTCTCGCTCTCCGGGGACTAACGGCGTAACGGCGGTGTTGTTAATAACTTCACTACTGTCCCATTCGTCTTCCGCACTTAGACACCCTGTGGCCTTGGCACGGTTACACGGTGTACATGATCTTAACAGTATAATTAAACTCAATCCGTTAACGTCGTACTGACATATCATTTTTTATGCCTCCGAAAACTCGAGCTCAATCTAGAGCTAACTCCGAAGAAAATACTTTCTTCACTACAGCCCAATCATTTGCCCCATTCTCCGACTCTATCTCTGCCATCGGTCAACCACGTCGCCGTAATCGCGGTTTCGGTCCAGCTACAGTTCCTACTACGTCGACTCTTCCTGAAGCCATGGAAGAAGAACAACAATTCGAGTACAGTACATTGTACACTGGTGACGGACAACCTGTCCAAGTCCTGACCCCTCGCCGTGGACAACCCCCTGTGGTCGCTCCGGCTCGGGGCCGTCCAACTACTCGTATTGACTCTCCAATCCTCCAAGCCATAGCCCGCCGTACGGGGAAACAACCCCAACGTCGTGCTGCTTCTGAATCTCCTCGTGACCCACCTCCTCACTTCGATTTGGACACCGGTGATCACGATGATCAAGACCCTCCTGTCGACCCCGACGATCCGGGCGCCGACAACAATCATGACGATCTGGATGACGACTCCGGCGGTTTACCGCGTGGTGAACCTGGTGACCCCAGTGGACCTGGTGGTCCTGGTGGTCCCGGCGGTCCCGGCGGTCCTGGTGGACCTGGTGGACCTCATACTCCCATATCTCCTGACATCCCCAACGAGCAACGTGCTATGTTGGAACTCCTCTCGGGGTTCAAGGGCTCCATTGAGACCCTTGGTACCGTCCTCGCCGCTCTCGGCCGCCCCTCTGACAGCTCTGAATCCAAGAGCAAGGTCAAGGAGCCAGAGGTATTCGACGGTTCGGATCCCCGAAAACTCAAAACATTCTTCGTCAATCTCGCCCTGGTCTTCAATGACCGTCCCAAGTACTTCACCGACCAACGGAAGGTGAACTACACTCTCTCTTATCTCAGTGGGTCAGCCAAAGAATGGTTTGTCCCTGATATCCTCGATCCGGATCTCGACTCGCTGCCGGCCTGGACGTCGTCCTTCACGGCCCTTGTAAAGGAGCTACAGGACAATTTCGGCGTTTACGACGCCCAAGGCGAGGCCGAGGACGCCCTTGGTAACCTTAAGATGAAGGAAACCGAGAACATCCGGAAGTACAACATCCGGTTCAACACTCTGGCTGCTAGTACCAACTGGGATTCTGCTGCCCTGAAATGGGCTTATGGACGAGGCTTGGCTGAACGCATTAAGGACGAAATGGCGCGGTTGCCCGAACCGGCGACGCTCGCCGCTTATCGTCTAGAAGTTCTTCGTATTGACAATCGTTATTGGAAGCGCGAAGAAACCAAGAAGCGTGAGGCTGGCAAGCCTTTTATTGCTCGGAACCCGAAGAAGGGTTCCTCGGACTTCAAGACTGGTTCTACTAACCAGCAAAACAATTCTCAGCCTTCGGGCTCTTCGGCGCCGCTCACGCCGAAACCTAAACCCTTCTCTGGTGGTAAGCCTAACAACAATGGTAAGCCCCAGAACTCTTCGAATTCCGGCCAATCTGGCGGTCAGCGCCCCGCGTTCAATCATCTAGGAGCAGATGGTAAAGTACTTCCCTCCGAACGGGAAAGAAGGATGAAGAACAACCTGTGTCTCTTCTGCGGTGGTAAGCATCAGATTGCTGACTGCAACAAGCGAAAGGCCCGGGAATCGAAGGGCCGCGCTGCCGAGGTTGAAGAAACCCCCGAAGCAACCATTGAGGTTGTTGAAGAGGATTCGGAAAACTAATCCGCAGCTCTTGTTCCCCGGTACGAAACGGGAGCTGCGTTGATCAGGTTCGTACCTCACCTGGGGAGTTATATCTCAACGCGTCCGCTCTTTCCTCTATTGAACGATCTCTTGTAATATCTTTGACTACTGAATTTTCGTTATCCGATTCGGCCGCGCCGGCCGAACCCATCTCTGCTCTTCTTAAATTTCCTACTCTTGTTGATTCTGGTTCTACTGACTCTTTCATCGATACTCGTTATGTTTCTCAAAATTCCATTCCTACGACCAAAATCTCTCCTGTTAATCTTCGTCTTTTTGATGGTTCATTATCTTCTAAACCCATTACCGATATGGCGAATATCGCCGTCCGGTTCCCTTCCGGCGAGCTGCTTCTATTACCCTTTTATGTTACACATTTAGATTCATCCTGTAAAGCAGTATTAGGTTACAGTTTCTTATCCCGCTACAATCCGTTGATTGACTGGGCATCTCGAAACATTACGTTCCGTAACACTTCACATTTTGATTCTCCACAGACGTCTGTACCTTCTGCTATCAACCCCGTTGTTGCAAAGGTCGCTGTTCCGCTACCGGAACCTTCGCCGTCGGTTTCACCGACAATTCTGGAGACCCCTCCTGGGGACTCACCTCGCTCTCGCTCTCGCTCCCGCTCTCGGACTTTACGGGCCAAGCCCCTTTCGTCCAAATTTCCCTTTGAACCCATCTATTCTTACCCTACGGTCTCTCAATTCGCTGCTCAACTGGAAACTCCCGAGGTCGACATTGCACTCGTCAGTGCTGCAGTCTTTAACAGGGCTTGCAAGGACGCTGGTATGGAACCGATTCTACTTCGTGCTATCCACTCAGAGGTCGCGGCCCGCGCAGCCGACCGCTCTTCCGCCACTCCTACTGTCCCTCCACTCCATCCTTCTATCCCAGAAGAGTACGCGGAGTTTGCAGACGTCTTCGACGAGATTGCTGCAGATTCACTTCCTGAACATAGACCTTACGACCTGAAGATTGACTTGGAAGAAGGCGCTTCGCCGCCTCTCGGCCGTATTTATCCTTTGTCTGAAAAGGAGTTAGTCGCCCTTAAAGACTTTATTGACAAACAGCTGGCTACTGGTGCCATCACCCCATCATCCTCTCCTCACGGCGCTCCGGTCCTTTTTGTCCCGAAGAAAGACGGCAAACTTCGCCTTTGCGTCGATTTCCGTGGACTCAATCGTATCACCAAAAAGGATCGTTACCCACTCCCACTCATATCAGATCTCCTCGACGCTCCGAAAAGAGCTAAAATATACACCAAATTGGATCTCGCCCACGCTTATCATCTGGTCAGAATCGCTGAAGGTGACGAATGGAAGACCACCTTTCGGACCCGCTACGGCTCTTACGAATGGAAGGTCATGCCGTTCGGCCTTACGAATGCCCCTGCGGCTTTCCAGCGGTTTGTTAATGACATCTTCTCTGACATGCTCGATGTCTGTGTTATTGTCTATCTTGACGATATTCTAATCTACTCTGATACGCCAGAAGAACACCGAGAACACGTTAAGGAGGTTCTTCGGCGGTTACGGAAACATCGGCTTTACGCCAACCCCGACAAGTGCGAATTCAATATGGATACTGTTGAGTATTTGGGTTATATTCTTTCTCCCAACGGATTGACTATGTCCAAGGAGAA